TTTGTTTTGATTGGATATAAAAAGTTTTTATTTTGATTAGATTTTTTGTTTGAGTTGGTTAAATTTGAAAAAGTTAGTATGTTTAGTTGTTAGTGGCCAGTGGGTATATTAGAATTTTATTTAAAATAAAATAATTAAAATTAAATTGATGAAAAAGTAGGAGAGAGAAGATGTGGTGTGATTGTTAGTTAAAATAATGTGAGTTAATTGATATTATATAATTATATTGATAATATTGATGATAGTGGAGTTGAGTTAAAGTTGAGTTAAAAAAAATTGATGAATTAAAAATGATTGGATTTTTTTGGTTGAATTTGTATCCAAGTTGTGGGAAGTAAAAATATAATCCTAAGGATCGAATTAAAAAAAAATAAAAAAAAGGACCATCAAATTCCTCCAATAAGCCGAAGCCATCTGTAAAATTAATACCAGTCTATTGCTCCTATTTTACTCGACTTACAAGTGATCGGATAGTTGTTTTAACTAGTTGTCTATAAATAACAATAGTACTTGGCTCATAAAATTACGATTAAGTCCTTGAATGTTTATTAGCGTTTTGAGAAGCATCTAACTTTTTGCAGGAGTTTAGCCTTTTCATTTGGTCAAAACAGCTAAAATTAGTGTTTGGTTAAATGATTTTTTACTTTGGCTGATTGGGTGAATAAGCTAAAATTGAAAATGCTACAATTATGAGCGTTTTGCAGCAACAGATTGAAGAAATTCTTCATTTTTTTATTTTTTTTTTTACATTTGTTCTAACTAATGAGAGTGGATGACTGCCTTTATTTTTTATTGTTCAAAAATCAACAAAACGATACATTATATGGATGCTCTATTTGTTAACCTCCATTCATAACACAACGTACATATGAGATTTTTTTATAGAATCATTTATGATAAAAATAAGAATATTACACGTCATTAATTGTTTTAAACATTATTTTAGCATGTTGAAATCATTCTAGTAACTGCGAGTTTTGCTATTAGGAAAAACAATCAACAGTTTCCCAGATGATCAGTTGAAATTGTAGCTATTTTTTTTTTCGGTAGCTAGCTACGGTATCCGGAGCTATGCCCCAACTAATCTGATGGTCGACTCGGGTCGCACACCTGGCAGTGGTGGGTGAGTCTCCCAACAAGGATTTTCTGCATCCACAAGGATTCGAAAGACTTTGTTTAAGCGACATCAAGCTACTTACCACTTGAGTCAACCAATAAAAGAACTAACTAACCCCATCAGCTGTCTTAATTTCTTTTTATTTTTTCAGGCATGCTTTTGCATGTGGTTTATATTCAATATAAATGTTAGAATCCATCAAACTTGTACAACACTCGCAAGTAATGTATCAAATTAAGCACGATGGTACGTGGTTATCTTCACACTGATTATTTCGTTTTTATAAAGTACATATGAAGACACTGTAAAAGGTAAGAGTTGAACATCAAAAGAAGTAGTGTCCCTTGTTAGGTGCATTTTTTATATATACCGTGACACACACACACACACACACACACACATGATGTTATTTCTAATTAATGGTTTACTAGTACAACACCCGTGTATTACACGGGTGCTTGCTAATTTTTCTTAAAATCTAAAATTAATAAGAAAAAAGTAGTTTGAAAATTTGAATACCTTTTATAATAATATATATATTATTATATATTTATTGTGACACTTTTTATTTGTGCGACTTACTTGTGTCATATTATACTAATTTTTTTTAACTTACAATATATAACTACATTACATATAAATATATCAATTGAGAAATAATTTTATTTTTTTAATGAATTTTAATAATATTATTATTTTTTATTATTATAAAGATAAATATAATTTATTTATTTCATATATACAATATGGATGTTAAATCGAAGATCATCAAAAGATGATTAATTTGATATATTATATATGTAAAACTGATAAGAAATACATAAGTTATCAACTTTTAAAATACATTTATAATTCAATAGCTTATTGAAGGAAACAAATCAAATTCAGGGATATATTAGTCACTTATTGCCTCACTATGTAAAATTACAAAAAAATAAAGGGTTATATTAGTAAAAGTGATATATTAAAATACCTAACTTAGCTAAATAATATTTATGGAATACCCGAACCTAGATTATTAATTATTAATATATCAATATTATTCATCCAAACCTATTACGAAGCATGATTCTTCGCCAAATAGGATTTCGAAGCACCAGAAGCAGCCACGTAGGCTCAGCGCATTCTGGAATTATATATAGGGAGGATGTTAGTTATTTTTTATGTTAGATGGTGCTATTATATACATTGACGCTATCTATGTATATCTATATCTATATAATAACTCAACTCATTTTTACAATTTTTAGCAATATATAATTTTTGGACAAAAATATTTTGGGTCAATATTATTTAAAGATTTTTGTTTTTTGGTATTCAGATAAGGCATCAATTAATTTTTATAATAACTAGTACGAATCTCGTGCGATGCACGGGTAAGAGGTGTTCATTAACCTTTGTAGATTAAAAATGCTCATTAGATAATATTAACAAATTAAAATATAGAATTAGTATAATACAATTTATACCAACATTAATGTATTTAAAATGTTATATAAAACTTAAATTGAAAAATTATATAAAACATGTTTATTTTAAATTAGTGCACAACCCGTACGGTGTACATAACTGATAATAAATTACATTATATTTATTTAAAAAAATATCGGATTGCATAGAAATTGGGACCAATTTCAAATTGAAAATTAAAATTTAAAAATTCATTATCATTTTGCTACTACTTTCTTTAGATCAATTTTTTTTAACATAAAACAGAGGCAAATAGTATTAATTTGAAATTCAAAGTGAAATCGGATTGGAACATTTTAAAATTTTGGTTTTGTTTAATCTATAGAATACAAAAGTTGAAATTCACTTACACAACTTTTTTCATTCCTTAAATTAAGTAATTTACAATTTTAAAATAATAAGAGTATAAATTATCAAGAAAAACCTTTTACAATCTCCGTTATATTTGGCTATGCAATCTTCATAAATGCAGTATAAATCATATCATATATATTCTACTAAATAATTTAATTGATTTACTTAAGCCTATCTAGCAAGAATCCTAATATAATTTGTGGCGATGTATTAAAAACCAAACAAATAATGTTGTGTACAAGAATGTGTTTAATAATATATAAATTATATTTTGTTTATTCCAATACACGCGTTTTACGTTCTTCCAATCATCAATCATCCAAATTTAAATGTTTACTTTAATAAAATTAGCCCACATACCGCACTAGTAGAGCAATATCAAAGCAAGACATGAATTGTTAGGTTCGCAATTAAATATATGATTATTTTTTATAAAAAAAATGCGCAATCTAAAAACTAAGACGGGAAAATAGATTTATTTAAAAAATATATATATGGGAAAATAGATAAATTATTTTAATAACAAATGAGATAATTAATTATGAGAATGTGAATGAATATTGGATAAAAATGTAATAATTAAAATTGATGTGATATAAACAATAAAATATTAACTAATAATTATTGCAAGTTCTAAAAAAAATATAAGTGAGTAAACAATGTTTTTCTTGTTTGAAACATGTGTTAATGATGAATTTTTAATTTTTGATTATATTAGTGGGATTATAAAGAAAAATTGTGCTAGGATGATTAGTGCAAAATCTTTTTAACAAAGAGAAGTTTGATTTAATTTTATATTCAATAAAGTATCTTATTTGATGAGAATAAATGGGAAAATATATGCAATCACCACTTTCATTCTTTTATTAGTAGTAGCAACAGTGAGTGTTGATTAAAATACAGAGAAATTTACACAAAAATTCTGTTTGGGAACATTTTCTTTAAATGTTAGAATTTAAAAATCTAACAACCAAATTTAGATTATTTCACATAAAGAAAAAAATAATAAATGTTTATTATTTTGAATTTCATATAGAGTAAAAGACATGATAATTTAAATTTATTTTTATAAAGTTTTTAAAATAATTAATATTTTGGTAATTATATTTGTCAGAATAATTGTACCATTTCAATTTAACAAAATTGAGAAATTTGCTATGAGTTAAATCTAGTTAGATAAATAATTAATTAAATAAAATATTATATTAATTTTATTTTGAAATATCCAATTAGATAACATAGATAAAAAAAATATTATATAAGATATAATACTTAATTAAATTACCACACAATTTTGTTTTCATATTTTTAATTAAAATTTATTAACATAAGATATACATTAGTGGTTAATTGTAGAATCTGTTGGATTCTTTTAACTTTAACTACTTAGACACGTTTTCAAAATTGAAATCAAAACTAAATTTTTCGATTTTTCTGCTAAAATGAAATAAATGCGTTTTCATATTAATAAAATTATATTAATGTTATTTATGTACACAGAGAATATGGTATGTTTATTTGTTGTATATAAAAGGTTGGCTCGACTATGAAGCAAACCGTTGGCTTCGTAGCAAAACCGTAGATCCAAACTGGGTATAATTGTTCGAATTGCATTTGCAACGGATCTCTCTCAAACAATACCGCCTCAATAACCTTCGAAAAACCTCTCTTCCTCAACAGGCTCTGCAAATTAATCTGCAAACCCTAATAATCCCAATCAATTCCCAAATTTCAACGAGAAATTACTCGACCCTGAAGAAATGATCTATTTTTTTTTATTGTCCCAACTACACTAACGTGAAAAGATCTTCATGATTTCCCAGATTTCTTATTGACTATTGCCGAACAACTTTACTGTTCTGTAATTCCACACTTCATCATCTTTTTGACCTTTTAAGAGTAAGAGTTGTTTTCTGATCCCTGCAAGTGAAAGCAATGGTGCCTTAACTTCCATTGCAATCAAACCCACGGGCCCACCACCTACTTTTGAAAGCCTCCCCGCTCCATCTCCATCTCTGCATACACGCGCCGCGCGCTCATTCATATGGCTTCCAAGAATCAGAACAAGCCTCCTTCGACGCCGTCCCAAGTGAGTTTCAATTCCTTCAAATTTGTCAGTTTAGAGAAGTTGCACTTTGTCAGGTAGTGACTGTTTCCGTTTTTTTGTGTCCCTTATCCTCGAATCGGAGAGAATTTGGGGTTCTCCTTTAGTGTCATGGAACACTGATACATCTTCTTTGGTTTCGACAGA